CGGATACTCGTTAATCGTCGTAACAATTCCTTCTTAAAGTTTTAGTGTGAACGTTTATTGCCGTAGCATGTCCTTCTTAACGGTTAAGTGTAAACGTTTATTGCTGTTACACGTCATCCTTATAATGTTTCGATGTAACAAGTGCTCATCAAAGTCTTGATGCCAACTTTTTTGCTGTGCGCGTCCATTGTCACGTCTTGATGTGAACGTTTATTGTTTTAACACGTGTATATTAACGTTTTGGTGTAATTCAATATTTTTTCTCACTATTTTAAATAAATTTTCATACGAAACGTTTCTACTCCGATACTGTTAGAAGAATTCATCAACGATACTTTTCATCGTACAAGTGTGTGACCGAATGTAAAGAAGAATTGCAATTCATATATGCACATCGGACTTATGGAAGATCATACGTCGAGACTTCATACACAATTGTGCGTTTTTACTTTTTTATTTACGTTATTTCGCTACAACGTGAAATTGTGGTGAAGGAGGCAGTCCAGCGTTTGTTTTCCTGATGATCCTGAAAGGACATTTTTCTAGTGCAACTAAGTTTTTCAATGAACATATTTGATCGTTCGAAAGACAGCTTATTAATCTATATCTATTTAATTAATATAAATCTGTTTTATTACCATATATCTGTTTCAATAATCGACATATGTCCAATGTAACCCGATCATGTGAATGCAAAATCCTATCTTTCTCCTTGAAACTTGGTTAGCTCAGCACTTTATCCCCTAATTATTATGTAACGCAGTCAAACAATTGACGAATCAATACCGGCATTATACTGAATAATTTATAACTTCGGACGATACGGTCAAATTTGTAATGTCCTTAATTACACACCGTCCAGTTCGCCGCTCCAACCACGTGATAAGGAAATTATTTCAAGTTTCATCGACTCCGATACACCTGTTGTTCCGCTCGTATAAGTTCGTCTAAACCTACAGCTGGTGGAGAAAATTCGAAGCAAATGCTTCTATAGTTAACCCTCTACCGCCTGACATGAGTAACCGGAGCAATATTGTCACGCGCCTACTTCCCAAAAAGGATACGTTCTAGTGAGCGCGAAATGACTTGCACTGATGGTTGCCGCCACGTACGACAACTTTAAAATGTTCTCTGTTGCGTACAAACGTCCTCAGGTTGATACACTCAATAGTTTACGTATAATTTAAGCTAAAAACTATGTTCCATGAGAGTGACGTACGGCGGTAGAGGGTTAATCCGGCGCGTAATTTGCTGGATACACTTTAATTATGTGTCACCTTGTAGTTAGTCATCGATTTGTGAAGTTTTATTGGTAATATTCATACTACTTTTACTGTTGCTTTCCTCGCCATTATTGTGATGAACCTGAGACTTCTGGAAATATCGTTTCGCTATTCACTAACAATGATACGTCTACATTTTATTATTATTTTACTAACATGTCGCAATCGCCCCTTCCCTCTGACCTCGACGGCTACCTGACCTCAGGACGCGCCGGAAGACTGGGTTCGTTTTACATCGGTTGCTAAATTGTAGCTCCCCTGTATAGTGTAATTAATGACCACTTATACCCTCATCCGCTGTGTCCTTCAATTGTGTCCTGCTATTCTGTCCCAGTAAAAGCTTCTAACCCAGACCGCTTAATAGCAAAGCTAAAATACTTGTTTGTCCTAAAGTTTCATTGAGTAATTTTGTCCAGACCGCTTAATAGCAAAGCTAAAATACTTGTTTGTCCTAAAGTTTCATTGAGTAATTTTGTCCAGACCGCTTTACAGCAAAGCTAAAATACTTGCTTATCCTAAAGTTCCATTGAGTAATTTTGTACTGTATTTCTATTCGCAGTTCATTTTTAGTTGTTTCCCTTGAGTCAACTTGTTTTGATTTATGCCGTTCCATTTTGGCTTGAAATTTAGCTTTGTGCAAATATTTCCATCTGAACCTAATAAAGCTTCCTGCAATATACCCGCCACCACATTAAATTCTCCTTAAAATCCCGTAGTTTTCTGAAGAGTCAAAACGACTGATTAAAATAACATTGTAGCTATCAATTAAACAAATAAACTGATACATGCTATCCGCTAGGTCATGACAGGTGGTGTTGGCGATCGGATTGACAAGACGCCATTGACGCGTTAGTCATAATAGTTTGAATTGAAACTCTTGTCATTTGCCGGGAATTTGTATATAAAGTAGCCATTAAATTGACGCCAGTGTGAGACCAGAGACAGAAGTGTGTATTCTAAGGCATGTCAATGAACGCCGCGAATCCACTAATATCAATTTTATTTCGTGTTGCCGATCAATAATTTCCTTAGTGCGATTCAAATCAGTGATTACTGCCATGGTTTCTATTTTCGGTTCGATGCCTATTACTTTTGGACTTGTCAAAGAAGGGCAGAGATAACCGCCTCTTGTACAAGTGAAATGCATCTTGTGGCAAAAGACGATCTGCTTCAAATTGCTAGTTGCTTCAGGCAGCAAGTTCACACTATAATGATTCCAATGAAGAAGTTTAATGGTGTCATTTTCATCTAAAATTATTAAAAACAAAGTGTATTTCAAATCTAACTGTAGCAATTCAATTTTAGCCGTTCATAGTCGGACCTCATTATATAGTAGATCAATTGAATTATTTTGTAATGCCATACTATTCTACTCTGTTACGAACTGTGTTTATTAAGACTATTATCACAACTAGAAAATTTCGTTTAATCATGTGAATGAAAAGGGAATTCTTATCCCTTTCTTCTCTTCTTTTTGCCTAGGAACAAGTAGTTACTGTAATATTATACGCAATATTTGACATTCTAAAGGTGAATTTTCAAAATATATTCGTCTGCTGGTCATTTGCACGCTCACAATAAGACTTTTCTTTGAGGTGTTCCACTAACGTTACGAGCACAGCCATGCTGATATGTAATGAGCTGATGGCTGTAATGCTGATCCTTGTAAGGACGGTTTGAAGGTAACAAATTATTCCAGTCGCAACTCGAAATGAATTATTCACAAATATATTTGTGAGTGACGCTGTCATTATGTTGCGGTTCCGTTCAATATTTGGAATTAATTTAATAAAAAATATTTAGAAATTTAGAATTAAATTTAATTGTAAAACTAAGATTTGTTTATACACGAACGTCACCACAATGAACAGGACAATAGTCAACTTCATTCCAACTTATAGTATTTGATTTATTACACCAGAACCTCTTACTATAGAGGTTCTACACTGAGAACAAAAAAAGCGTCTCATTTCCCAAAGTTGAATGATAGAAGCTTTAATGGTACACTGTTAGAAAAATTACCGTTAACGGTATTACCGGCGTTTCAGTGGCCGGTCGGCACGTGAAAAGTAACACCGTGTCTCCGTTTTTATTCTCATTTAACACTAGAAATCCGTTTATTTCCGGCCACTATAGAACGCCGGTGGGACCGTTTTTTCGCCGTTTCTTTAACAGTGTACTCGCGGACGGGAAGCTTGCGTTGCTACTACACAATTGCGAGAGATAGAAGTGAGAGCTCATGCCTCTGTTTCTATCATAGGCACTTGAGACTTCCGAGCATGTCCTATCCTGGTCATAAGTTTCACTCGTAGCCCTGGTATATGTTCGGCCTCATTTATAGTCTTACATCGTACCCTGGATATATATTCGGCCTTATTTATAGTCTTACATTTAATCGTATAGCCATTACATGTTAGGCTTTCTTCATTTGCTTACGAATCAGCTTTCTCCTTTCGAAAATGTGTCATATTCACGTACTAATTTCAAATTTGTTTAGAATAAGTATTGTTCTTTGAATGCTTATAAATTCCTATGCCAAACTTTTGACCTGCTTTCGATGTTTAATTATTTCATCAGTTATTCGTATAAAGTTTCATTTAATTTCTTCATGATTGAATTAATTCTGCTTAAGAAACGATGCGTTGAATGTAATTATATCCATTTGATTTTTATAAGTAAGTATTTACTTGTAGCTTTACTACACCAAACAATTTAGATGATAGATTCCCACTGAGCCTCATAGCCTACCACTCATCAACAGATGTGCGGTGACTGGTCATTAAACAACCGTTTCGTTTGGCCACATACAATTATAGTTTTATTATAGCGTGGATGTTTCCTGAAAAAATTTGTATTCGTTCTACACCAAGGCTCCTCGATTTCTTTTCAGTTTTGTCAATATGACCAATTTTTTATCTATCAATATGACGACAAGTTTAAATTCGTACGTTGAATCGATAGGAGGCACCATGAAAACCAATTTAATTTCAATGTGTTGAACATTCTTCGTTTTAGTTGTCAGCAAGAAAAGATAACTGCAGTTCTTTTGATTCATCTAACGCGAATTATCGGCCATTATTATTTGCGAGTTTTTAGTTAGGCAAGTTCTCGACATGCCTGTAACTTTAAGCTTCCACACAGGGGAAAATACGTAAGCAATTCCGCCGTGGAAGCGATTTCAGTACCAAACTACTTTCAGTTCTTGCTGCAATTGGCGCCGACCGAGGTGAGTAATTATCGCCATCCATGTTTGTTTGCTAATCATTGTTCTGTCTTCTCTCCTTCATGCGCTGCTATCCTGACCATCGATGCGCTGACGGCAATTCAACTTCTCCACGCCTACCTCAATTTTTCTTTATTTTAAATTCCCACATTACCACTTATATTGCAATCTGCACCGCGACTACGTGAGGCCAAAATTTGACGAAAACTCTGAGTTGCTTCTTGGACATCGATTTCCAATCACATCGCAATGAACACTTAATTAAAAAAATTACACATTAATGGCTTCCCCTATCATTTGGCCTTCTTCATACTCTCTACTCTTTATTCCCTCCCACAACCCTCTCTACTCCGACTTCAACCCTCTCTACCCCGTCTTCAACCCTATCTACTTCGTCTTCAACCCTCTCTACACCGTCTTCAACCCTCTCTACTCCGTCTTCAACCCTCTCTACACCGTCTTCAACCCTCTCTACTCGGTCTTCAAAAGAGCAGCCAGGCTCGAACTTGTTCTCCATAAACTTCTTCCGGCTGTTCCGCGTGATGCGCCTCGTCAAGCTCTTGTCAAAAGGGGAAGGCATTCGTACGCTCTTGTGGACCTTCATCAAGAGCTTCCAGGCCCTGCCTTACGTCGCCCTCCTCATCCTCCTCCTCTTCTTCATATACGGCGTCGTCGGCATGCAGGTGAGGGACGCCCGTGTGCTGGGGACGTCGGCATGCAGGTGATGCCCGTGTGCTGGGGACGTCGGCATGCAGGTGATGCCCGTGTGCTGGGGAATTCGGCATGCAGGTTTTTTTTCTGTAAGCTGTATATTTAAAGTCCTTTGAAGAACGATTAATTCTCTAATCGATTATTAGTTCGACAATAATTTACTTAAATTTGCAGACCTGTCAAAAATTTAAGAGTCTAACTTGACTTTTTATGAATTTTATGTTGAGCAACGAAGTTTACGAGTTTAGTTAAATATTTATACCTTAGTGATTGAAATTTACGTTCTCTATCTATTTAGTTTTGTATGATTCAGCTTAATTAGAAGTGAATAATGTCAAGTCATAAAAGTATTGTTCTTGTTTCGGATGATGATGCTATATTTGCATCTTTGTTTATCATGAATAAAGCTTTTGATGGAGTTGCGTATCTAAAGTGTTTTCAAGTACACGTCTTAATATTGCAGGTGTTTGGTAAGATCGAAATGGACGATTCAACACAAATTCACCGCAACAACAACTTCCAGACCTTTTTCCAGGCTGTGATGATTCTCTTCAGGTCAGCAACTGGTGAGTGTAAATATAAATAATAATATTAATAATATTGATATAAATAAATATAAATATAATATTAAAGTAGATATAAATATTAAAGTTACAAATATAAATATCGAAGTTACAAATATAAGTATTAAAGTTATAAATATAAATATCAAAGTTACAAATATAAACATTAAAGTTACAAAGGCTTTTGTGCCTGAAGCAGTTGTACGGTGAATTGCAAGGCTGCTTCAGTATATATTTATATGCTATTAACATACGATTCTTGCATGCTGAAACATCATCAATTTGATAACAAAAATACATTACCATTCTTAGCTAAACGTCTCTTAAATCTACTTGCTCAATACGAAGTGCCATAGAATTTATGCTCAGATCTTCCAACGATAAAAATTTTCAAAATGCTCCAACTGAACATTATTATTCTCCAAGTTTAGTTTATTCCAAGCAGAATGCAACATAAACTTTGAGAAAAACTTTCAACTAAATGTACCAAGATGTGCTAATGATGTGCATCACATCGATGATGTGCAGTATGCCTAATGATGTGCAGTATGCCTAATGATGTGCAGTATGCCTAATGATGTGCAGTATGCCCAGTGATGTGCATCACATCGATGATGTGCACCACATTATGCGCAGGTGAAGCATGGCAGGAAATTATGTTGTCGTGTCTGCCGTTCCGTGGCTGCGACAAGGCGTCCGAGGGCTACAAGCCTGAGGACAACTGCGGTTCCCTCATCGCTTACCCTTACTTCATCTCATTCTACACCCTCTGCTCCTTCCTGGTGGGTCAAATAATTCCTTATCATGACAAAAAAATGGCCGTTATTTCTTGAAACATATTAATTGTTACTCTATTTCGATTGTTCTCAGGCGCCCTCTGAGTGAAAATTTGATTAAGCTTTTGCTCGCCTTGTACGTTATACCCTCTCTGATCCTACCGTATAGGAACGCTGTTTTGTTTCTACCTTCCGCGTCTCCGTCCAACTTACATTTTATACGGTCTTATTTTTCGCAAATGTTTTCACAATAAACTAGGATGCCTGAATATTATATGATTAATCTTGGCATTCGACAATGTTTTAGTATTCCTACATGATCTTCGTTGTAGTTAATTATATATCTCTCAGAAGGTACTTGAAATCGCGCTCGTTCATTGCTACTTCACTGTTAGAAAAATCGTCGTTAGAAGGTCTCACTTGCGTTCTAGTGGCCGGCCGGCACGTGAAAATAAACACGTTTGGCCGTTTTTATTAAAATTTAACACTGAAAACCCGTACAAAATAAAAAAAATGGTGAAACTGTTTACTTTCACTGTTTTACTTCCACTAGAACTCCGATGAGACCGTTTTTTTACCGTATTTTCCAAGTGTTCCATCACCCCAGATCATCAACTTGTTCGTGGCGGTCATCATGGATAACTTCGACTACCTGACCCGTGATTGGTCCATCCTGGGCCCTCATCACCTCGATGAGTTCATTACCCTCTGGTCAGAGTACGATCCTGATGCCAAGGGTAGGATCAAGCACCTCGATGTCGTCACTCTGCTCCGCAAGATATCGCCGCCTCTTGGCTTCGGCAAGCTTTGTCCGCATAGAGTCGCTTGTAAAGTGAGTTTCAGTTGTTTAAAGTAAGTGAGTTGCGTGTAAAATGTTGTTTTAAGTGAGTTGCTTGTAAAAAGTTGTTTAAAGTAAGTGAGTCGCTTGTAATAAGTTGTTTAAAGTAAGTGAGTCGCTTGTAAAAAGTTGTTTAAAGTAAATGAGTCGCTTGTAAAGTGAGTTTCAGTCGCTGAAAAGTTTAACATGTACAATAATAGTAACTAAAATTTCGTCAGTGTTTACGCAAGGAAAGTATCTAAAACGATTTATTGATTTAATTTACGAGTAGGAATGAATTGAAGAGTATGTTCAAATATTCTCCTACAAGAGAGCCTAGGAATATGAATTCTCGCACAATCTCTTGCTGGATTATGGAAGGCACTAAATTTTCAAACTCTGGTAATTTCTTGAATTTTTTAGCCCCTTAACACGTTGACTCCGAAGTGGTACATATGCGTACCACCAAATGTACAGGGTGTTTCAGAATTAAGTAACCCTTTTAATTTGTTAATAAATAAAAAACTAAGAACGTTATGAAGTTGAAACTTGTTTTATTTAAAAGAAGAACATTTTTATGGTAATATTGTATCCTAGTTTTTAAATATAATATCTTTTAAATGCCCACCACAATTGTTTTGACAAAATAGGGCTCTTCTCTTCGTTGCTTTCATAACCTTCATTAGTGTTTCTGACGAGAGTGCAAATTTTTGTTATCCGCAAATTTTCGATAAAGATATTTAAATGTGTTTTTTGAAGGATCCTTGTTTTGAAATGGATCCTGTAATCACGTTGAACTTCTGTTATTGACATCGTTATTGACTGTAGCGATAATTTTTGTTCTTTCTTCTTTGCTGTAGCGAATCATGATGAAAATTTAAGGCTTGATAATTAAACACAAATTTAGCAAGCTATACAGGATAATGACGTAACTATGATACAATATTACCATGAAAATGTTCTTCTTTTAAATAAAACAAGTTTCAACTTCATAACGTTCTTAGTTTTTTATTTATTAACAAATTAAAAGGGTTACTTAATTCTGAAACACCCTGTATTTCTCCAGGACGTCGTGGTACATAATTCAGGTTGCCTAAAATCGGCCGATAACTCAATATATATTAGTTTATTTGTAGGTTTCGCTATAAAAATTCCATTTATTTTCTATTTATAATATTTAAAATTTAATTAGGAAGTACCCCTATCATAAATTTTAGCCAGCCAACGCAATTGAGAAAAACTAAATCACGGAATTTGTCCGGAAAAAATGACCTTTTGGCAACCCTGTTTAAAAACAGTACAAAAAATGAAATAATAGTACAAGATGAAGCAATCGGAGTCAAAGTGTTAAGACATCACCATATCCAGTTGAATATGTGTTGTTTGTTGAGCATCAGCAGAATGCTGTTCATAGCAATTTAATTCAAGGCTCTTACAGTTGGTTTAGTCATATCTTTAGATGACGAAATTATGGTATTATAATGGAGAAATTACTGGTATTATCTTAGCATCGCTTGCTTATGAGATTCACGTGATTTTTGTATTTACACAAAAGAACTTAAAAGCGCAGGATTTGTAATTGTTAGTTAAGTGATATGTCTTTCACTTATACGTTGTTATATTAAAATAAGTTTGTATCGTATGAAGCGAGCACATTATTCCGCAGGTCATAAATACTGCGTAAGGTAAGGAGAAATGAGTAACTGCAAGAACATTTATAAATGTACTACCTATATTATTGCAAACCTACCTATATTATTGCAAGCGAAAATGCCATGTTAACTAAATTAATTTAAAACTGTTTATTGCAGAGACTGGTGGCGATGAACATGCCTCTTAACACGGACGGAACGGTCATGTTCAACGCTACATTGTTTGCCCTCGTACGCACTTCCCTCAGGATCAAAACTGAGGGCAACATTGACGATGCTAACGAAGAGCTACGCGCTGTCATCAAGAAGATCTGGAAGAGGACGAACATGAAACTTTTAGACCAAGTCGTACCGCCCGCTGGTCGTGAGTCTCAATATTGTATTGTATTGTACTGTACTGTACTGTATTATATTGTACTGTACTGTAATGTATTGCATTGTATTGTACGGTACTGTATTGTACTGTATTGTATTGTATTGTACTGTACTGTATTGTACTGTACTGTATTGTATTGTACTGTATTGTACTGTATTGTATTGTACTGTACTGTATTGTACTGTACTGTATTGTACTGTATTGTATTGTACTGTACTGTATTGTACTGTACTGTATTGTACTGTATTGTACTGTATTGTATTGTACTGTACTGTATTGTACTGTATTGTATTTTATTATATTGTATTGAATTATATTGTATTGTAATGTATTGTATTGTATTGCATAGTAATGTACATTGTATTGAATTCTATTGTATTATAATATTGTAAGGGTGAAGTAAGGGACATGAGGGCAGTGGGTTAGGTCAATTATTTCATATGTTAGAGGGTAATAATCAACAAGAGCTTAGGGTAGTAATGTCAGTGTGAATTGAGTGTGTGAGTGAAGGCAGTGAATTGAGTGACATGGTAGAGTGAGGTATAAATTCCTTTTAATATATGAAATATTTGATGTGTCTCACTGTCTTCCATATTCCACTGTCCCCCATTTACCTTTAATATTATAATATCTTCTTTATATTATCATAATAGTATTAGACAAGACACAAAGAGCGATGCATAATATCCTATAATTGTAACTTATTCGTCAGGAGTCATCATTTATTATATTTTACGAATTTTTTAAATCCTTCTAATTTTTTTTAAACATCCGTTTTTCTTCAGTTATTTATATTTTTCTCGATGATTCTAACCTAAATCTAATGATCGTAAACCTAACCTAATGATCAGAGTAAATTCTTCAATCTCATGATCGAGCCAAATCTGTTGATTGCAAAAATATTCCAGCCGATTTTTACGGCTCGAGAAACCATGCTGGGAAAATGACGTCTATTGAAATATATTTTTTTGTAAATTATCTGTTGTAGAAATCAATTTAAATAATAACCCTAAAATGCAACATCTACAGACGAGCTATGAAAAACATCTTTAAATTCCACAAGATCCTGAGAGCTCATTGTAATTATTAATTAAAATGTCGATCATGATGCTGTTATCGAAGACACTAAGCGCTAAGCATGTATTGCTTATTTATATAGTCGTAATTATTCAGCTCAAATAACGTCCTGATACTAAGAGAAATGCCAGTAATCAATATAGCAATGGAAATTATAATAATTTACAAACAAAGTCCGGCCTTAACTGACGAAGAAGGAAAAAGAGGGACCATTTTAGCTGAATTTTACTATATTTTTTTATAAATATTGTGCTGTTGTTGTTTTAGTATTAAGTATCCATGCTGTGATCTAAGCCATGCTGTGATCTAAGCCATGCTGTGATCTAAGCCATGCTGTGAAATAAGCCAAGCTGTGATCTAAGCCTGTCTCTTATACACATCTAGATGTGTATAAGAGACAGGATCTAAGCCATGCTGTGAACTAAGCCATGCTATGATCTAAGCCATGCTGTGATCTAAGCCATGCTGTGCTCTAAGCCATGCTGTGGTCTAAGCCATGCTGTGCACTAAGCCATGCTGTGCTCTAAGCCATGCTGTGATCTAAGCCATACTGTGCATGTCGTTGCAGTGGAGGACGAGGTGACTGTAGGCAAGTTCTACGCGACGTTCCTCATCCAGGATTACTTCAGAAGGTTCAAGAAGAAGAAGCAGGATCTTAAGGACGCTGTTGAGCGCGACCCTAGCAACACCATCACCTTGCAAGCCGGTCAGCCGCGCTGCTTTTTTTATTATTAAATAATAATTATAATCTTTAAATTATCATAGACTATATTATATTCTATAATGATTTTTTTTTTGCTCATTGTCTATCGTTTGAAGACCAAATAACTCTCCTGTTGGAGCTAATTTATTCCCATTCTAGTGCCCTGAAAATGTTTTTTAATTCAATTTTTCTCCCTTATGCATGCCGGTTACTCTTCTCTTCTATGCCCACAAACTAACTTTTGAATACCAATTACCTCCCTCCTGCATCCCAATAACCGCACTATTTCATGCCCAAACATTACCTATTGAATTCCAGTTACCTCTTTTATGCAGACCAATTACCACCCGTTAGAACGTCGATTATAATTATTGTGAAGGTCGATTATGAACGTCTTTTGAACATAATTACCGCTTTGAATACTCATTAACTAGTACGAATTTCCTCCAAAAACGCCGAGTTGATAATAAAAGAATGTCATTAGGTTAGAATTTCACATCAGAATTGATGATATAATTTTATACTTATTAAGGAAACAACTAGGAAAAATTCCCAGCAATAAGAGCAATTCGTCTTTTTGAGCATTTTCATAAATTTTGGTCTTCATTAAATAATATAATGCATCAAATCCATTTTGATTGATATTTTGGCAAGTTTATTGCATTTGTGTACTATTTCACTGGAAAAAATTTTTGTGTGGACTTTTCTTCGCGAGAAATTAAACATGATTTAAGTCTACGGACTTAACTACCAAGAGTTAAGTATACGATATCTCTTCCCACATGCAGACACCTGCTAGATGAAGCATTTAGACATCCAGATAATATCTGATGCAACTTAAAATTTTTCGTTGAAGGTTAACGAAAGTGTTGATATTCTACGTTTGTTTATGCTTCATGACTGCTGATTTTTAAAAAATTTAAGATTTTTTAATCTGTGTTTGCCAGTGCCGTTCATCTCAAGCCTTTGAACATTATTACAATTAATAAGCCGTATGAAAGATAGTTCCTTCAATTTCACAAGCTAACAATTCCTGAAATTTAATTTGTACCCAAACTCAAAAAAATAATTCTGTAGACTCAATTAAATGTGATTCTGCAAGGATTAATTCTTACTTCGCTATATTGATTGAATCCGATCTTTCGGTACACGCTACCTTTTCGTAAATGTTTTGTTTCGTTAGAATCGCGAATTTTTTATGTGAGTTCACCGAAGGGTACTTTCGTTCTTAGAACTCCAGATAACGAGTATAACTGTAAAAAATTTAGATATCTCTAAATTTGATATAACTCTAGTAACTTTCTGCAAACTGTAACAATGGCGTCTTGAAATACCACGAGGATTTTTTTACTATTTACAAATTTAATGGATGTATTGTTTTGAAACAGGTTTACGTACGCTGCACGAGGCTGGACCAGAACTGAAGCGGGCCATTTCCGGCAACCTGGATGACATGCGCGACGATGACATCCCAACACACAGAGTAAGCCATTACTGATCCTACAGACATCCTTCCGTCCTAGAGTAAGCCATTACTGATCCTACAGACATCCTTCCGTCTTAGAGTAAGCCATTACTGATCCTACAGACATCCTTCCGTCCTAGAGTAAGCCATTACTGATCCTACAGACATCCTTCCGTCCTAGAGTAAGCCATTACTGATCAGACAGAAATCCTTCCGTCCTAGAGTAAGCCATTACTGATCAGACAGACATCCTTCCGTCCTATAGAGTCTCGATCTGGATATTTGCGAGTCCTTAACGCAACGACTATTCTTTCTTAAATGCAAACAAAGGTTTATATACTCGTGTTCGTGTTTCCATGTAATATGAGACGTAAACAATTAGAAATTATATTAATTCTTTATCTTATTCATCCTTCAAGCTACACTTCTTAGATGTAGGTACTCAATTCTATGCGAGTGATCTTAAGTGATTATTTAATTACACTCTTGTGCATAGCTTCAGGTTCTATATTTTTTATTTTTAGATACTGTCTCACCATACAACGTTCGTCGGACAATGATGGGCTAATTACCGTTGCTCGACATCATTATATTGATGTTAATTATTTTCATCATGGTTATCATTGTATTTAACATTCAGCTTGATCTCGTGACAAGGACACCATGTAGTTTGATGTGTGAGATATCACGTTTTTATTTTGTTTGTTTTAATCATTGGAATTTTAATTTGGTTACAATGAGTTATTTTAAGTTGCATTCCACTATGCGTTTTTTACCCTTAATGGGCTCTCGTGCTTTTAAACATACCCTGTTGGCCCCAAGCGTGTTGAAGTTAATTAAGTTCAGACTAATGAAATTACTGGTAAATCTTGACGTGGTTTCAGTGCGTCTATTACCCAATACTTATTGATTAGCATTCGAAATCCCTAAATAAATTTACTGACCTTTAATAAAAAATATTCACTTTATTTTCGAATACATGTGAAAAGCATCAGCGTCTATTTATTCGAAATAAATGGAAATTGAAATAAATAAATGAATAAAAATAATATAAATAAATTAATTTAAAAATAAATATCAGCCCTGCTGTACTTATTATGAAAACTTAATGGAATTCAAAATAAATATAGCTGAAGTAATATTTGTGTTGTTGATATTGTATGAAAATGCGAAGAATACTATAACATGAATAGTTTTTATTCTGATATTTTGCGTCTCCAATCAACAGGTTCATTGCATACACAACTAACCATTCATCGTCCAAATAAATGGCTCCCTAGATTATTCTTAATTACGCAAATTTTAACACTAATGGCAAAACTCGTTGTTTGCTTACACTGTACCGTGCGATGCAAGGCCAAGTGCCGAAAGATGTTCAGTCGACAAATGCGCGTTTATTCCACAATTTCCTTTAAATATATGAAAGTTGAACTCTCTATTATAACTTTTATTTTTTTTTAATTGGTGACTTCTCTTCCCCCACTTGTATATCATCACATTCTCTTCCCTTTCCATCTGAATTAAAATCTTCTTTCTCATTCAAACTCTAGAAAGGTAATGTATTTTAAGGCATATTCATCCTCTTCATAATTGAAGGTTTACCTATTCTCTGCCCTTCATAAATTACAAAAAATTTATAATCACGTTATTTTTTCCTCGTGGAAGTTATCCTTTATCTTATGAAATGATATTCCTAACTGAAATTCATGCCCGATTTACAATTTTTTCGACCTGAAGTGTCAAAATTTTTTTGGCCTTACTTATCCGCCGTGTGTTTCAACCTGAACGCGTCAGCCCAGGAAGCAGTTCTTGTTAACGGGTTTACCTCAACCACAGTTGCTTGCTGATCAATCACTCTTTGCCTCACTCCGTGCCTCACAACTCCCTTACTCCGTGCCTCACAACTCCCTTACTCCGTGCCTCACAACTCCTTCACTTCGTGCCTCACAACTCCCTTACTCCGTGCCTCACAACTCCCTTACTCCGTGCCTCACAACTCCCTTACTCCGTGCCTCACAACTCCTTCACTTCGTGCCTCACAACTCCCTCACTTCGTGCCTCACAACTCCCTTACTCCGTGCCTCACAACTCCTTCACTTCGTGCCTCACAACTCCCTCACTTCGTGCCTCACAACTCCCTCACTTCGTGCCTCACAACTCCCTTACTCCGTTCTCCCCCAGCGTAATCACTCCCTCACTCCCCCAGCGTAATCACTCCCTCACTCCCCCAGCGTAATCACTCACTATTTGGATCGGTGTGGTCATCAATGAAGGGACGAAGGCTCCCACGCACTCGCTCCCTCAGAGTGGGAGCCGCTCAGCACGCCAAAGTAAGACGTCCCACTTCCTCGGGACCTTTAAATTCTTTCGCTAGTTTGCTCGTATCCGTTCCTGCATCCAAAATTCGGCCGCTCTTAAACGTTCGTTCCGTAGACTAGATTAATTATCGATGTTTTTCTACTAGAAATTAATTCTACTAGACGATATCTTCTGAGTCGGCGTCGTCTAAACGGTCCCTCGACTTTCTTCTACAAAATAGTTTAGCTAGTAACGTCGTCGTTATTTGGAAGTTTGTAGAATAGAAATTTTATGTTTTTACTTCTATGAATTTGTCTTTCAAGAATCTTTTCCAGTTTCTCGCTTCTTAGCGCTTTTTCTTCTACATGAACGCTCGTCTAATTTTCTTATACACAATTTGTCGATTGGAATTTTTCCAGTAGTTTAAACACTCGTTCTATACATTAGATTTTCAAGGTTTGTACTTAATAAAGTTGCCGACAAAACACCCATCACCGTTACTTTGTGGCAGATGAAATATTCAATGCTTTCTCAAAGTTCTTTTCATGGCGCGATCTTAGAAGTCTTTGTTGTTTTGTCTAATCCGGCTTATTAGAAAAATGTTTCACCGTTTTCTAATCATGAATTTTCTGTGTTGTCAAATAATTTTCTTTTTAATGTCCTTATTGATATAGTATGAAGGCTGCAAGTGAAGCCATCTCTCCTGCCATTGGCGTAATAAAATTGTATATTTTATTTCAATATCGTTTATTTACTGGGAACATTGAATAGCGCCTATCAATGCTAAAAATTTGTGTACGAGCAAATTAGAACAATGTACAGTAATAAGGAATGCGATGAAAAAATAATGTGAACGGATGGTTATGATTTTGGATCGTTCATCAACTTGACACCTAAATTTTATTATTGCATCCATGTAGAGGAATTATTCCGAATCACTCCGTCACGAAGAATTATTCTAAAATGAAGTTCTGCTTTGAAAATGAAGCAAAAACATTTAACGTTGTCATTTCTTACTTTGTCGCCGTGCAATTCACTCGTGCAACATCGATCGTTCTAATATTATTATTTACTCCATAAAGTCTTTTTTGTTTCACTTCATTGAACCGGGAATTCATCACAACTTTTAACCGTATGATCTCAACTTTAACGCTGTTTACCTCAACCAAGTGGATTTTTTACAACAATGGAATTTATTTCCACCGGTAATAGTCCCAGCTTCGCAAAGTTTACATTTCATTTGCGATAAATTGCTGCTCCTCAATTGAAATTGACAGCATGTTCACAACTGAACTATATTTAAAAATCTTTCAGTTTAGCAATGCATGGCTATAGCCCGAAATAACCAAGCGGAGGTCTCTGATGTGCCAAAATTTGCATTAACTTATCTTATTCGAATTTGAGGTGTTTTCTATTGCTCGGTAACCAACTATCCCAGTATCGCCTTAACCTGCTATAACCTTAACCTGCTATGACTTTAACCTGCTATAACCTTAAGCTGCTATAACTTTATATATTTGTTCGTTGCTTGGCTTTCGGTAATCGCTCCTATAATCCTTTTATCGCCAGCATTTAACTATTTATTTCCATAACCTTGTCCTCTTTCATCATAGGGCATTTTTGACTAATACCAATTCTATGTCTCAAGTTTATACGGACATTATTCTTATGGACAGATTGAAATTGCTCGAGTGGTTTTTCCCAATAACATACTTGAAACTATATCTTAAAGTTTTAAAATCTTCCGTTTTTTCACTTAGCCTTAGTAATTAGTAATATTTTTTTCTAAATATTTCATTGACCCTGTTTAACCGTAATTGCTGACATCCACTGTCTAGAATTTTAATGCCTTTATATTTGCAATGGATATTTTCTGCTTAACGCTGGCATGTTTTTAATCTTGTTAATCCTTAAACTCCTAAATTTGCTGGCTTCGTAACACAGTACCCATTCTCTTAGATCGTTTTATCAAGTAATTCAGAGCTAACAATAACATAAAGCATGTTACCGTAATGCCTGAGTCTGAATAAAAATGCATCTTCATTTGTATATTGAGAGTCATTTTTTTATCCATGTTTATCTCTACTTTGTACGAATATTTTACGTGTATAAGAGAAGATTTCAGCTGCCATGAGCCATCTGATTTCTTAACAAGTAGCCTGGACTGAACAACGGCATGGTTGAACCAGTATAAAGTTGACCCATGAGAAGCCCATTTATGCGGATGTAGTTCGTTGTTCGCCTGTGACGTCACTGATCTCAGTGACGTCACGGGCATTAACCAATCACCGAAATGCGATCAAACCAGTCAATCAACCCGTCATGGGAATGACGGGTTTGTTTACGTTTCTCGATCTACGTGACGTAACAAGAAAGCTGAACTGAAAGACGGAAATCCTCGTGGACCAACCTTATATAGTTCAACCATGGAACAACAGAAACTTGTCATTAATTTTAATGATGAAGTGGGAGAAACTCGTCGCATTAATTTTAGTAAAATGTACAGGAAAAGATAACGAAAAAATCTGCAAAAAGTATCCAACATAAAAAAAATCGGATGACAGTTTTTTTCTACAGTTAACAAAAGTGTATTCAGCAGTATTATGTCTTCTTAGTGACAAATAGGCCTAATGGAAACCAAGAGATGTTATATAGTCATGTTTCCGGGCTAAAGAGTTTGTTAATATACCCGAGACCTTATAGAATGGTCTAGTTTTATTTGATTCACAGGATCGATTGGTGAGTCTAACTGGTGCACTATAGTATTCTCCTACAAGTTAGGAAATTATAGGCTCTTCTAAATGACAATTTTTAAGCAGAATGTTGTTGTCGCAAAACTTTTGGATAACTTTGCAATCAGGAGGCGTTTGAGTATAACTACACCAACAATAAGTTTAATTTAACTAAAATAACAACATTCTTGAACCTGTAGCGAACAAGTGACAAGTTCGGCATTTGGGCAACATAGAAAGTTAAATTTATCCTTACACGACTGACGCCTTGTGTACGTTGAAATTATTACGTGTCTGCGTAATTTTTCTTTACAGTATCTTGCAATCGTCTGAATGTAACTAACACAGTGGGAGGATGTTCCAAAACAGTTGGATGTCTAGTTTAAGTTAAATCGCGATAGTTAATGTAAATTTTGCGTCCTCTTGACAAAACTCAAGCCGAATTCACTTGCGACTATAGCTCGACATCAAAAATATTTTGAAAGCTACGTTCCCACTGTGTTCCAAGCCGCTATTAAATGTACGGCCAACATAGGTTTGATATCTCATTGTTATACGTCTCATACGTATACTGTTATCCGCCTCATACATGTACTGTTATCCGTCTCATACATGTATTGTTATCCGTCTCATATATGTACTGTTATCCGCCTCATATATGTACTGTTATTCGTTTCGGTATTTTTTTTTTTTTTGTCCAGCGCACTTCTATTTTACTCGATTTATCTATTCAGAGGCTGCCCGTTCTTGGAGCTCCCGTTATAAGTATTAAGTGGTTGGGTTTTCCAACCATCAATTTCAACGAAGTTGATTGCCTGCGCCTGAAGCATGTAGTTTCAATAAAAATGAAATTTCATTTATGATATATACCTCAATAGCTCAAGTGCAGTGTAACTTCGTCAATGACGACGACTCTAAATTTGAAAAAAAACGGGGGAGAATAACCAGGGATGGTCGGTCTTCAATAAATCCTATTAAATGTTCGCTTTACGTTTAATTTTGCGTGTATGAAAGGCATTAAATGCCACAATCTCTCTTACCACCCACAGGCCGTTAACCTGCAGCGACCAGTTGTGTTCAAGGTAGAACATTGAGTGACGTCTTCTGTGTGTATCCACCATAATTTGACTAATTCTTTACTTGCTCATCAAGATTTTCTTTAATGCACTCACTTGCGTCGGCTTCCTTTGAATGATTTTCGCTTCAATTTGCAAGCTTTTCTGCACATCTTGCTGGCTTGATGGATTGATCTCTGGCTTATTGACGGTTGACAACAGCTTTATTCACCAGATAATATTTTAGTGATTATTCCATTGATTTGCCGAAGATTCTTGTTGAAATATTGATGAAATATTTAGGGTGTCATCCAGGTCTAGGGTTGATCTGAACTATTGGTTGGCCTAATGGATGATAATTGATTGTGAATTGCAGATTAATTATCTCAGCAATAATTATTATCGTGGTGACTTTGAGCACTCCTCAGTTTTTGCTCGGTCTGCATATAAAAGCAATTCGATTGCTATCAGCCTACTCTTTTGGTTTCAAACTTACATTAATAAAGAGCTGATCTAACGTTGCAAATTTTGATTACGTTGTTATGTAGTCTGCATGAAGCTTCGCTTTGACATCATTCCAGTTTTTCGTAGAATGTTTCCTTTTGACTGCAATAAATATATTTCAGATTTTTTTTATTTTTTTAGGTAGTTTTACCTTGTGCCGGTCAATCAACATGTGTTGTCACAAGCTTCTCGAGTTTTATTTTTAGTCAATTAAGCATTAAATTACTTCATATAAGAAATTATATATAATTATAACCTATAATATATTATTATAATATGGTAATATATAATTAATTATTTGTAAGAAATCATACATTTGTTTGAAAAAATGATTTATTTAAAAATCAGCTCCCATTTAACTAGACGACTGAAGTTAACTTACTCGGTGTCCGGTTAATTTTGCCGAACGTTTTGTCTGAACAATTTCAAGACTGGAAACACCCGTGTTGTTTGGCCGATGTAAAGTGTAATAACTGGTATATATTTTATCTTCAAGTGAGATTGTGAAACTTATGAGTATCCCTGCACTGTAGTGAGTTTTGCTAGCTGAAAGTTCTGTCGCAACGTAGCTTTACTTTTTTCTAGTTAGTTTAGAATTTTTGCGTTTTGAATATTTTTCACAGACCATGAAAATGTTGTTTCCTTTATCTAGAGACAATTAAGGAATGTGTTTTTTTTACATTTTGCACCTGAATTAAGTTAATAAATATACTTCTGAGTTCAAATTTTTTGTAGTCAATATTGTTCTCCAGTAGTGTTGAAAAAATATTGTTAGGCACTTAATTTAGTCTACTTTCTTTTAATTTTTGAATTAGACAAATTAATTTTTCTTCACTTGTGAATTTCAGTTTAGTGTATGACGATTTTCCGTCTTGAAGGGTTTTACGATGTAGGTAGGTTTTTTCACTTGTGTAGTACAGTTGAATGTACCTGATATTTTGCAAGTTTTCAGATGGAAACCTGTAAAATGTGAAACAGATTCGAAATTTTTTATAAATAAAAACAAATTTTATCGAATAATTTTTTTATAATTTTTGTTCTAGGCAGTACAAAATTTTGTTATTTTCCTGTTCATCGGGCTTTTTGCGAATTGTGTTACATTTTTCCGTCCATCTCTTTCTCTAACTTGTTTAAAAGTAATCCCCAAGTCTTTGTGAACAAAATAACGTTTAATAATCGTACCCTCATAAAAATTTGTGGAAGACTGGCGGGAGGAATGAATTAAATGATAGGCGCTGAAGCTTCAACGAAGCAGAAGTTATTTGTGCATTTTTTCATTACTTACTGTACAGTGAATCACTGACGATGAACTTTGAAGTTTTCCTCAATCTACGTCGATATTTCGATATAATAATGTTCAAATATCTGTGTCAATTTTTTTTTATTTATTTTGTCAGAGTTTTTCTGAGAAAATTCATATGGTAAATGATGCATTGGTTAACCTATAATCGGAGATGAACAGAGTTCATTGCTGACTTAGAATTCATTGCCAGATCCATTCATTGTTCACAGCGGCAGCAATATAGTAGAACTCATGGTTATATAAATATGCCTCAAGAAACATAGCTAGTCTGTACATTCCATGGCGTATACTTTCAAAAAAGTTAAGTGATCGTAAGTTCATCAGCCAATCATTGACGGCCTTTCAAGCAAAATCTACCAATCATGGACAAGAAAATAGAGCATAAGTACTTACGTTCAATTAGTGATTTTTGAAGGTACGGCCCCTAAGTCTGTAAATTCAGTAGAAAGTTTCTCCCTGCCACAATAAGTGCTCATCACAGCGGCTTTAATAATGAACCCATGGTTATAAAATATGCCCCAAGAAACACAGCTAGTCTGTACATTCCAGGAGTGTTTCTCCCTGACACAACAAGTGCTACCCCGCAGGTGTCGCCGAGTGCGTCTATAGGGTACACCTCCTCTCCATCCGGGGAGCTGTCCCTCCCCAACGCTACGCCGGCGCTCCCCACGCCAAGCCTTGCCAGGTAGGGAGGAATTCAATCCTCAGTGCTGGGGTAAGTTAGTCTCTGTTCTGGGGTAAGTTAGTCCCCAGTGAAAATTTACAGACGCGGCAGCTTCTGATTTGGACTACCAGAAGCTGAGCGACTCTAAATTTCGTTAGGGTCTCAGTTCTGGGGTAAGTTAGTCTTAGTGCTGGGGTAAGTTAGTCTCAATTCTGGGGTAAGTTAGTCTCAGTGCTGGGGTAAGTTAGTCTCAGTGCTGGGGTAAGTTAGTCTCAGTGCTGGGGTAAGTTAGTCTCAGTGCTGGGGTAAGTTAGTCTAGTACTGGGGTAAGTTAGTCTCAGTGCTGGGGTAAGTTAGTCTCAGTGCTGGGGTAAGTTAGTCTCAGTGCTGGAGTAAGCTAGTCTCAGTGTTAGGGTGCGTTAGTCTCAGAGCTGGGGTAAGCTAGTCTCAGTGTTGGGGTAAGTTAGTCTCAGTGCTGGGGTAAGTTAGTCTCAGTGCTGAGGTAAGCTAGTCTCATTCTGTAGGGGGACTCGTAGACACCAATCTTTTGTGGTAATTTGAAACTGACCTGTTGGGATAATTCAAAGCTGATCTGTAAGGGTAATTTAGAATTAATTTGTATGGGTAATTTAAAACTGCACTGTTTGGGTAAGATGAAGCTTTTTTTGCTGGGAATTCGACATTAACTTGTTGAGGCAATCGATATCAATCCATTACTTAATTTGGGGTTTTTAAGAACACTGATATGTATAATGTAGGTAGTAATTCTACCCATATCTGCTAGGATTTTTTTCAGATCTGATATGTAGTGTTACTTTTTAACTGTCAAAATACGATGTATATATCTGTATTATTCATAGCAGCATAATCCACGTGGTCGTACGTTCATTCTATAGTTTGATAAATGAAATAATGAATGATCAATGCCCAAACAATATTCAACCTAATATTGAAGAATATTCAACCATTCTATAATAAATCAATGTATAAAATCCTGAAGATACCAGTGAGTCGGCAAGAATTTTATGTAAGTTTTAGTCTAATAGTTTAATTGTATCACAATGAAGTACATTCCATATCAAATAACATGCACTTCCGTTGTTTCATAATCAATTTCACTTTTAGCGATTTCGCTCTTCCTACATTTATGACTGTTTATCGTTACGTTTTTGACAGTGAACCTAAAATTGGATTTAAAACATGTCTCCTGACACAGATTGCTTTAAATAAAACCAATGCATTCTACTCTCAACCAAAACGATCGCAATTAAATAAATATTTCTATGACACAAAAATTACTTTTTGGAAGTCAGAGTTTAATAATATAAGTGGCGAATTTCAAATTATTTAGGTGATGATTACAATTGTAAGTCCTCTTACCTTTTCAACAAATTTCACAATTGAGAATAATTTTTGATATATCAGGCTTTGAGCAATTTCTTCATTTATTGTAAATATCCTTATTTTTCCTAATTTAAGGTGTTCTTGTTCGTACAATTTTGCATTTTAATCGAAAAGTTGTCACATGTAAAGGTTGTCATATCATTTTTTCAAAACATTCAATTTCCAAGTAATTAATTGGATTTAAAGCAGGTTATAAGTTTTTTCTGTAATAAATTTCATGTTTGTGATTAGGTTAACGATGATATAGCCGAAGAAATATTTATAAAAATACGTAACAATTATAGAAAGATGTACTGAATGCCTGTTACCCAGTGGCTGAGTGCTAATTCATCTCATTCACGTGGTTTTCCTTCAGTTCAGGACTCAGATCTGAATTTTTATTGCCACTAGTATGTACTTCGATTTTTTGTTAATTTTTTCATGGTTTACATTCGCAATCATCGCTTCCAAAATTATCATTGACATTTCCCTCTGCAGAAAACAGATGCAGTATCTCACTCCTGATTATAATGGTAAGTGATAGGCGGCTTCCATACTCATAATACAGCGTTGCTTTTGAACCCGACACGCTTTCACTCATTAAAAAACGAGTAAGATTACTAATATATAAAACAATTTCGAGCCAGCCGAGACTTTTCTTAAAAATATTATAAAATACCCTGACTGAGACTGAACAGGAGTATTTTACCTCTGTTATTTTTTTGAAACGGGAAAATTTTGGATGTTTTCGTGATTTATTAAACCTAAATTAACGGGTGTCAGTATAATTGATTGAGTTTTACAGTTCAAAAACAACGCTGTAGAGCTGCAACTTTGTGACTCTGAAGCTGCCTATCCGGTTTCGCTTTCCTCGCTCACTCATGCCTATAGCGTTTACTCATCACTCATGCCTAGCGTTTACTCATCACTCATGCCTAGCGTTTACTCATCACTCATGCCTAGCGTTCACTTTTAAGTTATTCACGCATCACCGTCTGAGGGCGCTTGTGTGCGATTGCGCCTATTTTTGCTCTCCCAATTTTTATCCTAAATTATTGATTAACTTTAATTCGTCACATTTTCTTAATAACTAATTTGCTTTAATTCATTAATTATAAATACTCTTGTAATTACTGAGGACTGGTATGAATGCCAACTACCGACAGCAAATACAACCGGAAATACACCTCGTTGACAAAATTAAAACGTTAGCATTTTTTATGCTGTCCGTTCATTTAATTATGGATTTATATTCATAAAAATGTGCTGACCTTCACACTCGGAAACTTGTCAGCTTATTAAACAAACTTTAATTATAACTATTTTACTTCGAAGTGTCTATCTTTGAAATATTCAGTATTCGATTATGATCCACTGCTTTGGATGAATTGGATTAACGTCACTTTAAAGTTTCCGTCTTTTAAATGTCGTCATAAATGCATTGATTTAACGGGCATTGAGACAAAATTTCCTTGCATGCTATCATATGAGTGGCGTTCTTCGCCTCAATAAAAAACTATATTTTAATAATTCAAGTTTTTGTACAGCTTATCAAACAAACGAGGCCAGTCCGAAAAGTTGTAATTGCTGAAAACGATGTAGTTGCAGTCGCTCTGAAATCTTTCTACGGAACATTGCTAGAATGGATTAGAAATCAAACCACTTGAAGCATATAAGCCTGCCAAATTTGAAACAATTTACAAGTATCGAAAATTGCCTTTCCAGTCAGTTCAAAGTCTTCGTAATTCTTAGATTTTTATGTAAGAACTTTGCACTTGTGATTTATATCGTCAATCGTTGCAGTAAAACATTGTATTGATATTCGAGGTTTAAGTGTTTAAGTAACTGTAAGGACAGGAATATTTATGAAATGTTGTGGATTTGTTTTCTACTTCTGTCCTAGTGCATTTCGAGACCTTGCTTTAAAAATATTGACTCGGTTTTTTTACTCAAAAAAAAAGGTGATTATCACGGCACTTGCAACTTCAACTTGACCCTTTGCTGCCCCTTCAAAAAAAATCAAAGTATGCTGAATAATAATATCACTAAAAAAAGGGAAATGTCTGAAGGGTGGCAAAGAGTTGAATCTGAGAAAAATTGCACCCGTAATATTGTTGCCTTCCAACACATTTTCTACGATCCGGTTATGCAATCACAATTATAATGCAAAATTTGAAATTTTTGAGTACCTAAGCATACAAGCACTGACTTGCTCGTATCAAGTAAATTTCAATGTCCCGCATGTTTTTAAATTTATTCTAACAACTTTTGGATCAAAGGTTAAAGTTGATTGGCGTACATTTTTGTTGTATTGCATTTTTTCACACTGGATGAGGAAACGTGGGAAAAGACGCTTTTGAATGGAAAAAGGGGAAAAAATCCTTAAAGTTTGAGACAAGGCACTAAGTCATTTAACTGCATAAGAAATTTGTTTGCTTTACTAATTCCTTTTGCATTGAGGAGTTCGCTGGACTCAAGCGGTCTTGACGTGTACTAATGCACTGAAGTTTTGCTGCATCTGAGTGATCATGGAGTGATAACTGCATTGGAGAGTTTGGCATGTGACTAACGTGGCTTCCTCCAGCCTGAGTGATGAGGAAGGTGAAAAGTCGCAGGCTGCGAGCCCGAAAACTGCGCAGTCCCCTATAGCGAGCCGCGGTTGGTCGCTGGGCTGCTTGGGACGCCCTGGCATTCGGGTTTCCCGCAGTTTCAGCAACATCGCTGACTGCCTTCGCTGCACCCATGCTCACACTCTAGCTGTAGCTGGAGCTGTTATGGCCTCAGGGGCTGCAACAGCCCCTGCATCTGGGGCTGCAACAGCTCCTACCTCACCCCAGCCTCCTGCTTCTTCCTCCTTCAGACGTGGCGACCGAGCATCCTTCCATGGTCGAGGTAGCGCCCGGCCTCTAACATTTCCAACCACCACTCCATCTACCAATCGTCTGCCTTCTCTTGCTCATCATCCTCCTACTCACCCTAGACCTACGCTTCCAATCCCACCACGACCAACTGCTTCCCATCACAGAACCCTACCCAATGTTCCTTGCACCTCTACCTTTTCGGCCAAAGCATCAGCAATACTGTCAAAGGACTCCCAGTTACTATCAGTCAAAAGTTTACTACAACAAGTGGCTTCTTTGACACCACGCGCTGTCTTGGCTTCTCTATCGCCACGACCATGCCATCGTTTCCTCCCACGTCCTCCTCTTGTGCAATCTCATTCTCATCCTAATTTGAATTCATCATCTTCATCGTCATACTCGTCAAATGAATCTATTTGTTCGCAAACGGAAACTCCAAGACTCAGACGGAAAAGTCGGCGAAAAGACACGAGCGAAATTTCATCGATGGCTTCTGAAGTTGCTTCGGGTAAAATACGGATCCCTGAACATTCTCCTGTCTATGAATTTAGGTCTCAATGCAACCCTAAAAATCCGCACAAATGTCATAAAACGCGCTTGATACGACCCACACAAGTGAGTAGGCTCTCCAATAGAAGTGACTGTTGTCATTTCTTCAATAGGGCTTCTCATATATGTCGCTACCAAGACGATGGGTGTCACAATAGCCCACCCCCTCCGGCTCCTTCGCAGTCCCCTATAACAATTTCTCCCCATCACACCGCAGATTTGGAGAGAGAAGAATCTCTTGACGACTCCCCTAACACTCTCAACCCGGATACAATGTTAGTAGGCGCAACTGCATTCACCTTCCCAACCGCTTCAACATACGATCTTCCTTACGAACCAACCACTGAACCTGAATTGCACCAGTTTGACGAGTCAAGAGTTTCCCCTACTCATGATTTAGTTGCTGGCGTCGAATCTGATCTACAATCATTGTATTATACCGGAGAAAATTTTCCAGACGAAGTCGCTACCATACCGAGAACGTCACGCGTTAGGTCTTACAGCATCATGTCCCCATCCTACCATTTACTTCACCCGTACCTTCATGAAGATCGAGTGCCGTCTCCTCCTAGGTCATCTCTTTCTTCTCCTAGGTCTCGCCTTCCGCTGCATTTGAAATCCGTGCAGCTTTTACCAGAAAACGAGACTTCCATCGGAAATCCATCAGTTAAAGCTTACGATCTACCAGTTCGTAACGCCGACGATGATGACTGCAGTTCACGTATCGTGGATGAGTGGGACGAATCAACCACCGATGCCGTCTCCAAAAAGTTTGCCGCTCTTTTCACTCAAGATGTTCCTTGTCCATTGCCATCTTCCATTCGTGGTGTCAGCGTACCAACAACGTCTGTCATCTACTCAACGGTTGTTACTACCAGTGCAACCGGGGTTTCTGTTCCATCATCAAGCACTCCCATCCACACTTCAATCGTTCATAAAATACAGGACACTTTCAGACGAAAAGACAGACTAAGTCGTTTTGGCCAAAACCCGTCTCAATCTTCCTCTAAAATATCTTCTCAGACGCATCGTTTCGAGGGCCCCTATTCGTCTACATCTGTCATGTCGCTTTCGCTTAGGTAATATTCTGCCAAATTCGGCGGCATTTTTTGTGCATTTGCTCAACAGTTGCTTCTCTTGCTGCGTCTTATTGAATGCAGAACTAAATAAAATACAGTGATTCAGAATGCTTCTACTTTCATGCTGTCTAAACTTTATCAATCATGAAATCATGACTTCTTATTTGGTATAGTGAGAGCTCCAATTTTTTTTTATTCATTCAAAATGCTCAAGGACTTCGTGGCCACGAGAAATATTACTACGTTATTGTATTGCATCCATCAAAAATTCTCCTCGAGTGTGATGAATCATTCCAATTCTTACATCAACTTGTATTATAGTTGTACTGTGTAGTTCCTTCAAAGCAAGATAAAAGTACGTCATTACCACGAAATCCTTACGGCTGATATTCAACTATTTGATTTGAATAAAGTGGTGCACATTCATCGATTCAAAGCACATTTCGCTGTGAAAAAAACACTCCGCAGGAATTTTTCAGTAATATTAGAGTTGTTTTATATATCTGGACTCGTATTTCAGAAGATGAGAGAGCAAGTATTTTTGCAACGAGAATTGTAATCATATTTTACGTCTTCTGAGATACGTTGATTGTAACGTCTCGATCAGTGCTTTTTTTTTGGTCGCATTATCCTAATTCATACAGGAACAATTATTTCACCAAGTCACGGAACCAAATATTTTCCAAATTAATTCTTGTCATTCTTGAAATTTCGTAACTCCCTTGGAATAGGACTTGTAATTCAGTGCAATCGTAGGATCTTAAGAGTATTTGCAGGAATAGGATTTGATATCGTAAACGCGTCTTGGTCCAAAACTGTAGTCGCCAGGACACTTATTGAGTAAAATATTCTTAACATTTGTGCCCTAAAAATGTGCCCCACTTTGCTGCGACATATACCTATTGGTCCTACATGCATCCTGTCTTCCACCTTATTGATCCTACATGCATCCTGTCTTCCTCCTTATCCTCATTCCCTATGGACTCGCTTTGCTACTTGTTGATGATTACTATCATGTGTAGCCGTAGAACAGTTATGAGATGAACTTTAAATGACTTTCGTTAAATGATGATGGATTTGCCCAAACGCTTAGCTTCTTACAGACTTGCTTCAGTAAATGCTTTGGGTGTTGCATTAATTCAAGTCGTCGAAATGCTTTCAACTAATAAATTGGTTTAGCAACGTTGGCAGACGTTTTCATTTGTTGCAAGTTTTTTGTTACTTTGAGTTTGTGTTCGCATAACATGCCTTCTATCGGAGCTGAGGTGATGCAGAAAACTGTACAGGTTCTATAAAGTGATGCATGTTATTTTGTGATGGTGATGAGTAACGAGCATGGCTATTATCTTTGATTTGAGTGTGGCTTGCTTTTTTCAAGCATTTTCTGTCATGACCAATTTGTTCATTGATTAATTAGACATAATGGAGTTTTCTTGGCATATTATTAGTGGATGCTAAAATATATTTTGTGTTTTTACTGCATTTAGGAAAATATTTTGTTTAAATTGAAGAAGTAAAACATTTGAAAAAACTACGTAGCCTCCAATAATTTTATTGTACTTAGTGTTGTGAAAGGTCATGAGGAGTTCATGAAAAAATAACAAGCAATGCTTATAACTGGCAACTTTTAGCGATTATTTTTATCAACAAGGGCCTCATTTCAATGAAGTAAGCAAATCTATTTTGTCAATTTCACTTTAAGCTTGGAGAATTTGTCAGCCTCATTGTCTTACTTTCTTTAATCGGCTCATGGAAATTAAGCGCACAGTAGATTTAAATCGAACTTAGCAAAACTTTTGATTAATATTAAACCTCTTTGGATCAATTCTTTGAACAATGAGAACAAATTTTGGTCGTCTTTAGTCGTAGCTAATTAGAAGAAATAATTTACGCCCATATAATGGGTTTATTTTCACTTGCTAGTCGCTAGTATTGGCTAGTCGTAGTTCCATAATGTGGATCCACAAAGGGAATAATTTTGCAGCAATTTTACATGTAGACTCTTGATATTAATTTTATTGCATCTCTCCCTTTTCTTTTCCAAACATTTTCCCGGATCAAACAACACTCTGAGCTTGCTTCGTCCTTCCCACTTTTCTCCGTCCTCCTTCCACGCATATTCTCTTATTCTTTACTTAAATTTCTACGAATCAAACCAACTCTCCACTTTCTGAGTTATATCCCTTCTGCTTATTTATTCTTCACCTTTCTGCAATTATTTCCCCAATTGCACTTATTTCTATGTTCTTTCTTCTCTCCTTCACAATTTCGATCTCCTTCTATTTCCTTTTTCTTCTCGACATCTTTTTTTCTATCTGTTAATTATTCCCTTATTTCCTGAATTTCATGCTCATCATGAATTTTATCATATTACTAACTTTATTCTTCTGTCTCCTCCTCATCACGATCGTCGGCCACTGACTACACTTATTCCTACGTACGTTGTTTATGATCACGCTTTTATTTTAACTTATTTCCTAATGTGTATGACATTTTAAATGTTTTACAACTGCAATAATAATTACTCTTTTTCGTCGTTTTTCACTCTATTGCCAACATAACGATCTAATCATGAATTTCTAAATTATATATGTTGCTTTTTTGTTAAACCTTTTCTCATCTACCTCGGTTACACCCTCCCATCTTTCTTGGCTTTTCTTTCACTGAAAAATTTTTCCTTCTTGAACCTTTTTCTGAATATTTTTTAACTTTTCTTTCTCACAATGTTACTCCACCCGACATTTCTTAAACCTGTCTAAAAATTATGTCATTACCGTAAACTCTGATCGGGCTCTGAATGCACTTACTCGTCGTGTATCGTTTATGTTTGTTGCGTGGTATCACTTTTCGTTTGTCTATGTACTCATTTTTCGTTCATCTATGTACTCCTGATGAGTGGTGCATCATGTGTTGTCATGTGAATGTTCTACCTTATTCCCCTCCCTAAAATGTGTTGAATATATATTTTTTTGCATTTAATTAAACCCCCGCGTGATAAATTGTCAAAACTGCTTTTACAAAAAAAAATTATTTCACTCGTCCCAAAATTTTTGTTCCTCCCGTGCACAACATTCAATAATTTCAACATAAACCAATTAACGACGTAAAAATGTTTTTTTTTTCGTTCACCAATTGCGTTGGGTTGACGATAAATAATTTTCAAAACTTGTAATTAAAATTTCGAATGTTATTTGCAATAATTATGATCAATGCATCCATCGATTTGAATTTTATTTGTCATTCTCGCTTACACAAAAAAATTATTGCATTGTTGTACACTATTTTTGACATAAACCATTCCTCGGTAACTGAACGAAATATATTCACCCGTGCCATAAACTGGTCACATTTTTCTATAAAAATATTGTTATTTTGTTAACCCCTTCCTGCATTGATGCATTGTTTATACCATAACTTGACCGCCCTTTCACCATTTGGTTGCATATGTTTTTTTTATTAAATAACCTACATGTTTATCCCCCAATGTATGGTTCATCATCTTAATTCATTGGAATGACATTCATGACTCATCACTCTGCCATTAATTTAATTTGATCGCGTGACATTCATTATAATTCACCAAACCATCAATGTGAATCAATTCGATGGCATTCGATGCCATTGATTATCTTCATGATATATACATTAAAAACGAATAACATTCGTAAATTTATACCTTCTCTACCATTCTGAAATAAAATCATAAATCGGGCTAAATTTAATGCACCGTAATATAATTTCGTCCGTAATTACATCCATGGTTTTTAACTCGTTCAATTCGGTCGTTTCCTCTTTGTTTGCACCTAATTCTACACTACGACTGAGCCACCTTCTTCCCTGCCTGACCTAACTCTCCACGTTCTTGGTCACATTCACACTGCCATTTGTTGGAAACATTCACCACTCTCTATTTAAATTATTCTGGATGCTCGTTTGGCACATCCCCTAATTTATAACTCAACCAAATTTCAATCCCTTCCAAACGTGCAATGGATCCCTGTTTGGCATATCTTTATGCATATAATTTGTATTATTCTTCTCAATTGCACCTTACCCAATTTTTCCCTGAATTACACCAAATATTCCATCGACACATCCCTCTCTGTATTGCTTGGAGTCTCTTCTCGAACTTGAATCAATCATTCCGTGTCTGGGTTTGAATCTGCGACTTCATCTACTTATTCAACGCCCATTCTTCACACTCGCCTCTTCCTGAAACTCATCTCCCTTTTCGTCCTTTAAATTCTACCTGAAATTCCTCGTCTTCTTTCTGGGCCACCTCTTTATCCACCTTATCTTGACCCTCGTATGGGCCAACTCCTCTTCAACGCACACGGGTCAACTGCTCTTCACCGCACACGGGCCGACTGCTCTCCACCGCACACGGGCCGACTCTTCCACCGCTTACGGACCGACTATCCTGCCTCGCTCACGGGCTGACTGGCTTATACCGCTCATGGGTCTGCTGCTCTCCGTATAAAATGGGCTGGAATCTTCATGTCGGTTTCTCTCGACTTTGCTACTGTATCCGACCTTTACTTCACACAATTTCATCCTAACTGCGTTTTCTCCTCCCGGTCCCGGGTCCTATTTTCACTCTCCCGCTGACGGAACTGCTGTTATTCGCCGTCTTTTCTTACCCTGCCTGTCCCCTGGCGATTTCTTCGATTAAGAATAAACGACGAACAAGAAATAATTGTGAGTCGTCCATGCTTAATTGCTCTCTCTTTCTTCGATTAAGAATAAACGACGAACCAAAAGCTTGCTGATTCAACATTTGAATTATTTTGCTTATTCATGCTGGAGGTTCATATAGCTTGATTGTGCGCAGGGCATTATACTCTTAATCCAGCTTACAATAATTCTGAATAATTATCATAGTCGCACGTTCATCGGCTGAGAACAATGACGGGATTTGAGATATTGGTTGGACGAAGGCAGTGTGTAATTTAGCTAAGTAATTATATTCACAAGGTTTTTGTAGTTTTCTTATTGCTAGGTGATTCTTTATCGCGCGGAAATGGTCGAGTATGTACATTTTTCTTCGGCCGTTCAAAAAGTTGTACCATGGAACTAAGTCAAAACTTTATTCGGGAGAGTCCTGATGATTATTTATTATTCCTTAGAGAGCCCTGGTATGTTTGATGTGCCTATTCGACAGAAAATTTGAAAACAAATATCAAGTTTGCTTTTGTATACGTTTTTTCTCTTTAATGAT